CCCCCCCCCCCCCGCCCTGGGGCCAGCCAGCCCCAGCCCCTACGACAGGCAATCCAAACTGCACGATTTGAATAATTGAACTAATAGAAATCGGGGGCCACTTCAATTGATTCAAAAAATTGGGGCCCCAAGAATTGAAAGTTGAAATCGGGCCTATCTCAATTGTTTCATTCCGGTGGTTTTCTCTCTTCGAACATTGAGGGCCCGAAACCAATTATTTCAAACATTTGGGGGTCCCGAGAAACCCCCAGTACCGCACTCTGCACGGCACTTTTGTTATTCAACAGCCCTCGAATGACCAGGACAGGCAAGTCATACTTGGGGGTACGACCTAGGGCCTATAGGGCCTGGGTTTAGGTTCTGTGACACTGCGTAGTGTAGGTAAGTGAAGTAACCCTCAAACCCCCCCAAGAGCTGAACCCTGTACCCTTCCCAAACCCTGAACCTCTGACCCCGAAATTCCCAAACCCTGAACCCCCAACCCCCACCCCACACAGATAAACTTGTAAACAAACTTATGGAACCCTGTGAGAAGAAACTATAAGAGGAACCCGAAAGCAAGCCCGTATAGGACCGTTATAGAGCTCTTGTAAAGCCAATCCCTATGTATAGAACCCTTCTGGAACTCGTGCTATCAAATAACGAAAATGCCGAAGTTCGAAAGCTGACTTTCTGGCAAGCGACCGAGTAAGCTCTTCCAGGAAGGTACTTGGCGAAGGCGCGGTTGAGCCTAGCCTTCGGTGCAGAACGGCTACAGGGGTTTAGTGCCTCGCCCTCGTCGCTTAAAGGCAACTCCTTCATGCGCAGTCTACAAATGGGGTAGTTCTCTAAATTAGGGTCCCCCTTTCAGGTACCCAATCTAGTACGGCACCCTCATAAAAAGAACCCGCAAAGGATTTAGAGAACTACCCGACTGCAGGAACAAAGCAGAAGGAGACTCGGTACAAAACCAGGAAGGAGAGTGCTGCCACCATGCACACTGTTGAACCTGGCCGGCTTTCGTGCACAGCACCCCAAAACCCCCCCCCCAACCCAACCCAGCCCTGTTGCCCATGCTTGCACGTAGTAACGTAGTAGTCATCCGATGGCTTTCTGCATGCAGGGTTTAGGCTTCCCAGTATTGATTCTAAGGCTTCAGGGCTTGGCAAACGCCTGCTATCTGGCAAGTCTGCGAAGCATTTCCGAAGGAGCTCCTGCAATAAACAGTCTGCATGTACCTCTTCCAATTGGGATTTAGGGTTTTCGAAATTGTTAAGTTTGGAGGCCAATAAAGTTTTAAGCAGGTTGTCTTTTTCCACCTGCTGGGCTGGGCTGTGCTGGTCTGGGGCTGGATGGCGTTTACGGCAGGGCAGGGGCTGGGGCTGCTGGCTGCGTCTGGGCTGGTTGGGGTTGAATCCTTTGAGCAGCTCTTTCTTGAGCGAAAGTTATGACCAGGCTTCTTTCACCTTGCTTTCCATTGTTCGTGTTGCTGGGCTGGGCTGGGATCGGCTTTTGCATTGACGGTTCCGGGGGTTCAATTCGGACAGAAACACACAATTTTTATCCTTTTCACGCTTGAGGGGTTGGGGATTCAAGTATTATGCTTCCTCACAGAAGGATAGAACTCACGGTGCTGAAGCCTGGAAGCGGGGCTGACAGATGGAAACCCCTCGACCCGTATGGACACCCCAAGTATACACCCCTTCTCCAACCCGTATAGAACCGTTGCAAAACCACAAAAAAACACATAAGGAACTCAATAGCCCCTTGTAAGACCAGCTCCCCAACCAAAAAGAAGGCCAAGCCCCTAGGCACGAGACCCTAAACTTTTCAAAATCCTGAGTGCTGGGCCGCCCAGGCTCCTCCAAGGGCTTCGGCTGCAGAAGGGATTGGGAGTTAACCCCTAACCGCCTAAACCCAAAACCCCTAAACCCCTAAACCCAAAACCCCTAAACCCCTAAACCCCTAAACCCAAAACCCCAAAACCCCAAAACCCTAAACCCCTAAACCCACAACCACCTAAACCCGAAACCCCCTAAACCCTTCCGACTTTAGGGTTTAGGCTTTGGGGCTTTTGGGTTTCAGGCGAGAGGGCCCCATGAATACGGGTTCGATGAATAAGGGCTCTATGAGTTGGGGGTTGAAGGGTTCTGTCTAGGGTTCCACATTGTAGGATGTACAGGGTTTAGGTGGCAACGGTCCGCAGAAGGTGGGTTTACACATTTCTGCCGCCACTACGACACAGACCATGCTTCTTCAGGAGGCTGGTAGCTACCACAGCTTGTTGCAGATTGAATTCGGGTCACTTGTGTTCTTTGACCTCGGTGGCTGCGGTGATTGCTTGTTAGTGACAATGATTCCCGGCCTTAATCATCATGCGGTAACTTAGGGTTTAGGGGTTTAGGGGTTTAGGGTGTAACAACGACAAGAATCAGACTCATCACCACCTGTGACGACACGGCGAGGAGGAGGACTGGGTGAAGGTGAGCTTGCGTGTGTTAAAAGGGACTCTGGGTGTGGGGCTAAGATGTTCCCAAAGCCCCGAAACCCAAAAGCATAAACCCTGAACCCTGAACCCTAAACCCGCCAAACCCAAAAGTATTAATATCTAAACCTCACAGATTATAGTTTACTTTCCCCCCAAGCTGTATCTAACCACATCTAGCTGCTAACTAAGAGCCACACATTGCAACACACGGAGAGCTCGATAATAAGTTAGGGAAGCTTAGTGCTAATTAAGGCCTTATGCTTTAGGGTTTAGGCCCTGGACCCACCCCTAAACACCAAACCCTCAACATCCGTACTGGAGACTGCAAGCAGGAAGGTTTAAAACGTCCCCAATGCGAAAACTCCGAAACGTGAACCCGCAACCCCAAACCTACACAATTCTAGCGTCCAGGGCCCAAGTTTAGGGTTTAGAGCTTAACTTGAGAGGTTAGGGTCGAATGTCCAGGGTTTCGGGTTCAAGCTTGGAGTGAGTTTGGAGTTTGGCCCGAAGTTGATGGCTGAGAGCCCATGCTCCCAAGAAAGCGCCTCCTCAAGGCTGTAGACCTCTTCCGTCGGCGGTTCCTTCGGAGGTTTAGTTGTAAAAAGGAAGCTTGGTTTCAGGCTCAAGGCTCAGCCTTCTAAACTGCTTGTGTCACTCTCAGGGTCATCAGGGTCCCCCTGAACCCTAAACCCTTAAGACCCCTCCCTCCCTCTGCAATGCCGATCGACCCGGGTTTTAGGGGTTGTAATATAGGGGCCCAGATAACTACCAATACTATTTTTTTGGGGTGTCCTGATTATATTTATAGTAGAATGTACCCAAAAGCCCCTATTCTAAGCAGTATGAGGGTAGCTATATTCGGGGTTTGGGGGCAAGTTGGGCAGGGCTTGCTGGGACCCTTTAGGCACAAATCCTGTGGTTTCGCTCTAGGTGATCCAGAGTCTCAGTCGCCGCTGCTTTAGCGGCTGTAATTAGTGATTAGCATAAGATAATACATTATAGCATAGTAAATTATAGCATAGTATGGTATAGTATATTTTTATTAGTATAGTATCTTATAGTATGGTATAGCATTGCTGCAAGCGTCCGAGCATGGGCCATGGAACAAAGCTTCACCCTGCACGTTGCCACACGAATCTGAAACAAAGCTGACTCTGGCTACACCGACTTCAACGGGAGTACGAGCTCCAAAATGCCTAAGCTGAGGTACTCTTTATCACTGACTCCGTGGGGCTTGAGCCATTGCCCCACTCAGACCCCTCGACGCGAAACCTCCATAAACGTTGGAACCCTCCTCCCCCCCGAAGCCACAATCGCATCCCGAAGAGATCTAGAAACCCTCAGAGGAACCCTAAACACCAAGCACCAAGGACCCTAAACCCTAGCAGACCTTTCGGCCTCATCGGCGGGAGATGCGGCCTGGATCGACCTTGGCAACTTGGCGAAGCGAGACAATGGGGATGCTTCTAGGGTTTAGGCCTTACTTCTCAGCGGGAACCCAAAGTTATCCTGTAAGGATAGGGATGATAAAACCCTGTTTATTAGAGCTTCCACATTATGGTTCTCTTTACAGTGTAAGACGAGTAAGGCCGCCCTTACCACGAGACGATACCACAGACCGCACGGTTGCAACAGGCGGCATGTTGAAAACCCCGAGGCTGAGCCCTGAAACCGGAAACCCTGAAGCCTTCACCTGAAGCTTTTTTTACTCATTTAGGGTTTCAGCCCCAATATCACAAACCTTAATTTAGGATTTGGGTTTAGGGGCTAGGGCTATATTATAAACCTTGGCAGCCCTAAGCCCTAAGCCTTAAAAGCACTACCCTCAAGCCCGAGAATGCCTAGACCCCCAAATGCTTGCAGGGCCCCCGCTCGCTTTGGTCGTCATGCTGGCGCTCCTGCCGCCTCTCAGGAAATCCCGAAAGCCTGAACACCTGAACCCCAAACCCTTAAATGCAACCCTAAAGCCCTAAACCCTAAACCCTTCACCCCGATAAATCTTAAACCCGAAGGGCAATGTCTCAAAGGTGGCTGTTCAGAGTTTAGGATCTGTGGTTTAAGGTTCCTAGATTTTTGATAGCCTCAGGATTTGGAGTTCCGGTTCACAGGGGTGACTGGCATGACCATTTCTGGCAGTCGCAACATGCAACCTCGGCACTCAGCCACCGGTGTCCCTGTTCGCTCATAGCTGCGCCGGTCATTGGATGCGCCAACATCGATGAGACAACATGGAGGTCTTAAGAACTAGAACAGGGCTTCGGGCCATATTGAAATACCATTGTATTACGAACTATTCAGAATCAAACTGTGTCGGCCCGGCCGCAGCAAACCAAACCAGAAACGACACGTCCGATATTCTGCGAACGTGGATGCTATGTGCAGGTAACAGAAAGAAGAACGGCAGGTGGTAATTTAAGAAAAGCTCCCACGCAGGGATCCCTCATCGAGCCGCAAAATTTCCGAACTGCCAAATCCTGCCCGAAACCCTAAACCCTAAACCCTAAACTCTACCCGAAACCCTATACACTAAACCCATAAGAGGGATCCCTGACTTCGGACGAGATGAGCCCCCAGATGCCTGACAAATGCGCGTGTGTGCTCGACTGCTCCGGCCTTAGTTTGCATCGGAGTCTCGAAAGGCCGCCAAGGACGTGCTCTGGCTAAGTTTCGGATGTGGTGTAGGCGTACAAAATCGTAACCTGCCTACCTGCCCACCTGCCTACCGACCGACCTACCTACATACCAACAACACCTACCGACCTACCTACCTACCTACCTACCTACCTACCTACCTACCTACCTACCCCTACCTACGAGCATACATTTGGACATATGTTCTATACAGATATATATATATATATATGTAGATGTACATTATGGATATAACTGTGACGGTCATGTTGAATGGTTCCAATGGAGGTCGTCACCAACACTGTTTTGGGACACCCTAAACCCGCAGCTAAACCCTAAACCCGTCTCGCAGCGACTACGGCAACCTGCAAAGCTCCACTCTTGGTGCCAGGCTTCCAACGCAAAGAGCAGGGTTGTGAGTGGAACCTGAAGCGCTAATGTAGTGGCCTTCTATAGCTAATGATTAGGGCTTCTATGTTACTGCGATTGCTCTCATGGGCATCGGAATATAATCTTCTCGCCACCACTGCAGCGCAGACTGAGGCTACGGCGAGGAAGAAAATCATCCCCGGATGTCCCGATTTGCTAAGAAACGACAAGCTGTAAGTTTGAACACATGCTGCGGAGAGTCCTAGTAAGTAGCGCTACCCAGTACTACTTAACCACAATGTGCACGTGTCGCCGTTTGCATCTCCGATCTTGAAAGATACGAGGCACACACTCGTGAATCTGGCACAGAAAGGCACTCAAAAGACAACGCAGGGCAAGTCGCCATCACACGTGTCTCTGCCACGGCTCCTCTGTCTTCTTGGGGTCTTTGGAAAGCAATAAGGGCTTCAGCCGAATGAATGTTGGGAAGAGGATTTCCTGGCGTGGGGCCCTGTGCTCTGGGCAGGCTGTGCTCCAAGACATAGCACAAACGGTTGCTTGGACCTTCTCATAAATTTGCCAAAAATCTAGCTCCTGACGGAGCATAATGGCCGACCGAAAGGGGAAGGAGATGCATGGATACACATAGGCACCATATCCAGTCATAAAGAAAGACTCGACGAGGGCGTTCAGGGCGCAAGGCACTGAACAGATCAACCGCTGGCCCGATCCACCGCAGACACGCGCTGCAGCTATAGCTTCCGCAGGTTGGCTAAACTCTGCCACGATGACATCAGGGCTGTGCTCATGGCTGACCTGCGTGATGACGTGGCTGGTGTCCGTTGCGGATGGGCTGACAATGTGCCCGGCAAGACCAAGACCTCCCTGATGCAGCTCATCAAAGAAGTCTACTACCACCACCTGGCAGCTTTTCGACAAGGAGCTTGCAACATCGCGCATCACAGTCGTCTTCCCACTTCGACTCGGCCCAAGGAAGACACAACTGCCGGAATCGAGGAACTTCCGCACTGGATCACTAATTCCAGGAAGCAAACGTCCCAAATGAAAGGAAATCGAGTTGATGTGCTGCTGAACACTGTAGCCGATACTGACACGATGTATGCCACCCGCGACTGGCTGCATGGCTGAGAAGGTACCCTTTCCATTGGGAAGGCGCAGTTCCTCTGCAATGTCAACAAGGTCTTGCTGCGTCAGTTGAATTTCCGGCATCGTGAGCGAGCGCAGGTTGCCACGGGCTACGGCTACAACCTGCATCCTCCGGCCCTCTTGAAGTATCAGCTTCTGGGCTCGGGATTGATGCAAAGCCTTGGCAAAGGACGGCAGGCTCAGTTCGTTGAGCGCCCTTGCTGGGAGCTTGGCGAGCAGTCTTTCTAAATCGCAGAGGCAATGCTGTGCTCCAGGACCCGAAGAGCCTTCACTCAGCTGCGACGGTGAGTCCTGCAGGAGAACTGGCAACTCGCAACAAAGACATGATAGGAAGCCAGCACAACTATACAACCCGAAAACATCGGCAATGCCGGAACTGCAGCATGCCGTCATGAAGATGTCGCGCCTGCACCAGCTCTTGCTTGCCACTTCGCTTGTCAGCCTCCCTGCATGCCTCCTCCTCCTCAGATTTCTGACTCGATGTTGATTTCTGGCTCGCTATTTCCCGCTGCACCCCCTCATGCTTGTCATCGAAGTAGCTCACAAGCTTGTGGATCGAAAGTGGCGTGGACTGTTCCACCTTTCGGCCCCACGCCACGAACAGGTCGGTTGGCACTTCTGAAGAAGTTGCTGGATCCATGTGGGCAGCTATGTCCACACTTACGTTGCCCAACTCCTGCGGTGAGGCCTTGGCCAGAATATGCCGCCTCACTTCGACATCTTTAAAGGATACTACGGCACAGCCAATGCTTGAATGCTTCCTTACGGATACAAACTTGCCCGCCTGGACCTGTGCTTCTTTACTTCCCGCGGCTACGGTCTCCTGCGCATCCATGTCCGTTCTCTTGCTAGACTTGCCGGCCGGAACATTGCTTGGCAAAGCTTCGCTCGAACAGTCCTCTGCTACGGGACTGCTGTCTAGCTTGAGCTTCCACACAAGGTCGCTTCTCTTTGCAGACTTCTGCATCGGGACGTCTGTCTGACCCTGCCCTGCGGCACGACCGGTTTCATCGCACATCCCAGAATCGATTTGCGGTGGATTGCCATGGCCGTGCCCGTCACGAGGGGCTGAAGCTTTCACGGCGCTGGCAAACATCACGGTAGAAGCTGCGATGCGGAAAAGATCCGGTCTCGCTCTAACTCGGGCCGTCACCGAGAATCTTGATTGGAACTTGGCGTTCAACGACGTCAATGGAACACCACCCGATGAACTTTGCAACACATGTCCGATTTCCAGGTCGTGTGCGTCTGGAGCAGATGAAGGGCTCAATGATGCAAGCGCAAAACCCATGCTGGGATAATGATGCTTTGATGCCACAAAGCAAACGGACTCACCGTCAGTCCTGGTTGTGAACATGCGACGGAACCATGCACTTGCAGCTGTGCTCTCACTTAAACGCCGCACTGGAACTCTCACATCCCTGCCGAGCATCTTGGAAAATTCCTTTAACACCCAGAGCCGTCTGTTTCCAGTGATAGCATTCCATACGTCTCCTTTCTGCCAAACACACAGCTTCGGAAGTGCAGATGGTTGCAAGCGTTCCGACAGCAGTTGCTTGAGGGTATCGATGAGCAGATTACCGTTTTTGAAGTGGATCTCAATGGAGTCGTGAGCCCATCGGATTTGCTCGACAGACAGATCAAACACATCCGACTCCTGCTCCAAATCATCCTCGGCGTCAGCATCGTTGGCCTCCTTTGGTATGCTGCTGCCTCCTGCCAAAGCCTCAATCAGCTGCCAATGGCCGCGCTTGCACAACGGACCATAAGAGCAACACGCATGGCCATCCACTACTGCCGCATCGTGCAAGAAATTGCCATGGCTATGTTTCTTCGTGCACGTGCCACGAAGGAAATAGCAACAGTGATTGGGAAGAATTATTTCATCACCCGACAAGTTCCACTGGTAGGCCAGAAGACCCGCATGTTTGTCGCAGAAAGGCCGCAGGCCCCCACTGCGAGTGATAGTATCCTTGTACGCTTGACACAAGCTGTAGAACTGTGCAAGGTCGCTTGTCAGAAACGGCTTCTCTGCTTTTGAAATGTGCAGCGCGAGGTTTGCAGCGACGGTGATGCTGTCCAACTTGCCGGAACCTCAAATTAACCCGGAAACATGAATCACCTAGATCAATAAATCGAAGGGCTGAATACGAGATGTGAGTCTGCGTTCTTGCAACCAGCCGACTTGCGGAGCACTTCCCAGTTGCCAGCCGCAACTTCCAATGTGGAGAGCCGGCTTGTTTGCAGGTGTGAAAAAGCTCGGGGCGAGCCGTGCAGAAGTCCAGCACGTTTGCAATGATGGACCTCCGGTGGCAGTTAATCCATGGCCGGTAGCTTCTCCAGGCGTTCGGAGGGTCTGAACTCAAATACCTCTAACAAACGGGATTGGGACCTGCACCTGCTCTGGCTTTTGTGCCAGCTTATCGCAACGCCCTGAATTGAGCATCCCATTATGCTGGCCCACAATACCCACAAGGAGATGCACAATCCCGCCTGTGTGTCGGATGCCGGGCATAGAATGGCTGCAGCTTCTCGGATGATACGACCCCGCCCTGCTCCTTGACGAACGCAACCAAGTCGGAGGCAGCTGCGTTTTGTTTCCATGCCATGGCTGGAGGACTCAGAGCTGTGCAAGAGCCAGCATGGCGTCGGATCGGCAGTGATAAGTGATGCACGACTTACATGCCACCAGCATCCACAAGATCCGCACCGCTACTGCGTTCGCATGGAATTTATTAAGCTTTGCTACTCTTCGTCTGCGAGGTTGCTTTGACAAAGGCTTCGACAGAGCCGACAAGCAGGCTTGCTGGCACGTCCTGTTGCATGCAGCCTAGAACCTAAGCTAAACCCTGCATGTCTGGCAAAGGCTGGCGCCCCAAAAAAACCTATTTGCCCTGCAGAAAGTTTTTTTTCATGCATGGTCAGCGTCTGGCTGCGCTCGTCATGGAGGGCATCGATGTCGGGCGCGGCCTCGGGAACTGGGCCAAGGCCAGTCAGAATCACAGGGGTTTTGGGTTTAGGGTTTAGGGTCGCATAAGAGGTCGCAAGTCCGTTGAGGCTTCGGGTTTGGGATGCCGACTTAAACCCTACACCCCGAGCCACAAGCTTAAGGTTCAGGGATTGATCTCTCAAGACAACGCAGAGCCCACAGAAGACTCCCCTATACACCCTGAGGTACCGGGCGCGTACATGATGTCCGCCTTGGAGGGGCCCTCACGAACAGGCCTGCAGGTGAGGTGCTGAATAGGACTTTGCGGGCTTGGGCTTGCGGATACTTCAAATACGCGTCACTTGGATGGTTCTACCAGGATTTGGGGGTCCTACAACTACACCCGAAACCCTCTTCGGTTTTTGCGCTTTTAGCTTAAGGTGTTACGGGGGATTTAGTTCTTGAGGCTTTCGGAACTGGGCTTCGCTTGGGGTTTGAGTTTTTGAGGGGTTGCGGGGTGCTAAAGCCAAGGCCCCGAGGGCAGAACAGAAGCCTGAGCGAAGAGGTTTCGGGGGTAGCTTATGCTCTTTACACTACACTTCTATGGGGACTAGGACCAGAGACTACAAAGAAGTACTCAGGCCAGTATAGTGCTAGAAATCACGGGTTAAAAGCCATTGAACTTATTCAGGTTGAGCATTTCTGGTTTCTTCAAATCCCCCCCAAAGCCCTAAACCACTAGGTCCCCTCAGCCCGTAGCCCCAGAACCCCTTAGAGCTGAAAAGTAACCCTTCGTAGAACCCTTCTTGATACCTAAAGGGAAAGGGTTTAGGGTTTAGGGTTTAGGGTTTTAAACCCCTAAACCCTAAAGGGAACCCTAAACCCTGCCCGCACCCCCCTCTCCGAATCTGTGGCATGGAGCCTGCCGCCCGGCACTTTCCCGGGAGGCACACATGGCAGCACACACCTGAGAGCTAGCTCTAGACTCTAGAGCTTTGGGGATTATGTAGGGCTTCTGCAGGGTTTAGGGATTAGGGTCTTTGACGGCGGTTTAGAGTGAGCTTTGCACAACTATCACGGCGATGCGAGCAAGAAGCTTCGTTGTCGACCGTAGATCCTCGAGTGTAAGGTTGATGGCCCCTTCGATCTCGAAACATGGGCATGCCCACTTGTCGAGCCATCTTTACACATGGGTCATATAGGGGCGCAAACAGTTTGAACAGGGTTTTGGACTATGTATACTATTGGGTGACCAGGAATCCTCAGGGGTAGATAGTATCGCAAATTATTCAGGCTAGTACCTCAAGGAAGGAAGCAAGACATCCGGCAAAGACACAAAGGCAGTATAAGGTCACGGCACAGGTGCAGAAGTGTCCACACCTGGAGTCGGCTGATCAGTTAGGACTGGATTCGGGTTTCAGGGTTTAGGTACTGAGTGTTTGTCGGTATCGCTGCTGGGTCCGCGAATCGCTTTGGTCACGACGATGACGTGTCCGTTGTGGCTGTGGCGGCACTGAGTTTGCATCGTACATCGCCCAACTGCGAATTCTCTCAGTTTCGATGTCGGGTACGTCGCCGCCTCGTCTATGATCTTTGGAATCATAACCAACACAAGCACCATTACGAAACACAGGAACATGTTGCGGTTGTCGTTGTTGTTGCTGTTGCTGCTGTTTGGAGAGCCGTCTCGGGAAAGATCAAATTTCTGACCAGTCACTACACCCAAACTCCGGGCATTCCACTCGGGCAGCCGACAACTCTTTGAGCAAGCCCAACAGAGGTGTCTCATCTTCCTCATCCTCGTCAGTTCTTGCTTTTGGCACACCTCTCCTGCCTTGCAGGGTTCTTCGCCCTGTAGGATTCCGTTGAAGGTTTCTTTAAAGGTTATTATTGGGGTTACCATAGGGTTTCTAAGCCCTCAATCCTAAACTTCAAACCCCGAAAGAGTGTCATGTACTTCCTTTGGATCCACGAACTGTGCAACTCTTAATATTTAGAAAAGGGTTTTGGGGGTTCCCCATTACAATTATAGTATACTAAACATACCCCCCGAACCCTAGTCTAATCAATAAGGCCCCTGTATTCCTAGTGGCGGGCCGGGGGGTTTTCCAGCTTGGGCCGAGTTGATCGAGCACGTAAGACATTTTTCAGCACCCGAACCACTGCCGGCCCGGGTTCCGAGGTTCGGAGGGTCCAGCCTTCGTTTATTCAGGAGGGGTGGGAGGTTCCGAGGTTCGGCGGTTCCCAGGTCTGGAGGTGCGGGTCTCGGTCGGAGGTGACGAGTGAGCGGAGGGACGCTGCCCCACAACCCTGAACCCAGAAACCCTCCCTAAACCCTAAACCCTTAGCCGTAAACCCGTAAACCGCCCTACTTAGCAAGAGTCTCAGAGACCGTTGTAGGCCACTGCGGAACCCTGTCAGAACCCCCATCGAACCCTTAAAGGAATTCTTAAAGGATCCCTTAAAAGGAAGCCTTTGAGGAATCTGAAAGGAACCTGTAAAGATTCCTGAAAGGGACACTTGTGGGAGTTAGGATTAGGGGGACCCTTTAGGATATAGACCCTCTCAACAAGGTCCATTTTTGAGAGAGCAAAAAAGTAGGGTCAAGAAGGGTCCCCTTTACGGGGTCTCCCTGATGCTACCTAGGAACTTCTTACTTTCCGAAGAAGCCAGGGAAATAAACGGCAAAACTTTCAGATTACTACTAAATTATAAGAACCCAAAAAGTTTAACGGTTGGGTAGTGGGGAACTGACCTAAACCCTCAACCCTGAGACTTGAAGGAATCCCGAAGGAACCCTGATAGAACAGAACCCCTCAGCGAAGCGGTTTCAGCCTCCTCGGAGCGGAAGTCGCGGAGGACGTCCTGGTGACGTTGCTCGGGAGTCGTTAGGGCTTGCAACAAGATATGGCACGACCTGCACATAGATATGTATGTGTTAAGATGTGAACATATATGTAAATATACACACATACATATGGGTGTGTGTATATATATATATATGAAATAGTCTGTTTATATATTTGCATATTTACATACACATATATATGTATGTATGTATGTATGTATGTATGCATGCATGCATGCATGGATGGATGGATGTATGTATGTATATATGTATACTATACGATATTAGATATATATATATATGATATGATATTTTAGGTATATACACATACATCTGTGTGCTAGCGTCATGGGTTCGGGAATGGGGCTTGAGGTTTGCCTACGCCTACCGGTACGCTTAGGCTCTCGGAGTTGGGTTGTTTCTTGCTGGGCTAGTGCACCCGAAGCAGCAACTAGGTCCCAAAAAACTTTAATGCAAGTTTGAAATCGCAAACCCAAACCCAGCACGAGCTCAAAAAACCAAACGGCAGATAAAACTCAACCCCAAACCAGCACTCCTTCAGAGTACCCTCCAGCTGACCTGGCACAAATCGGCTGAAGGGTCCAAAGTCGTCAATCAGAAATCGAGGAGCTTTGGAGAAACACGCTTGCAACTTGCTTGACGCAACTTGTAAATTTTGTCTCGGAAGCTCTGTGTCACTCTTGGGACATCCTAAGTCCTGAACTCGGCATGACGAACCTCGTGTTTAATAATTAGAATAGTGCTTGGGTCAAAATTACTATAACCAAAGTTTTCAAGGAAGCCTCAGGAACAGTAGCATTGATTCTTTCAGGCTTCTACATTGAGTTCGCGAGCCTCGTGTCCTAGCTTGAGACGTGTCAGGGTTTGGGCTTGGCTGAACTCGGGCGTTTGCCTCAGATTGACAACCCATTACTGACATCCTGCATCCGAAATTCCAAAACCTCAGAGCCCAAACGTCCGAGGCCTCAAACCCGGATGAGACCCAACCCGGGATCTTGACAAGGCTTTGAAGTTCACAAGCCTGGAATGCGTGGTTTACATCGCCTTGTTGTTCTGGTGATGACCATGTTTGGCAGTCGTGTTACTAGCATCGGCATGTTTATTACCATTAGGATTGCTTGTATTAAATATTGAACTTACCAAACCCAAAATGTTCGAACCCAGAAGCTCCAATAATAATAAGCCCCCGAAGACCCTGGCCCTGAACCCTAAACCCTACCTGGACCCCAAAAGTATGCAAAATAATAGCCTTTATGGGTCTTGGGCCATTAGTTTACACACTTTTGGGGTTTGTTTCAAGTACTAACTCAGCCGAAATCCTGAATCCTGAGCCACAAACCCGAAACCCTAAATCCGCATGCAGACTCAACTAAAACCCTGATGATTGCAATTGTTATAGCTACGAAGACGATTCCAATAATTGTTTGGGTCCTTGATGATGCCCTTATGAAACTACGACAATGACAATTACCAGTGCTACTCTTACTGTTAACCCGAAACCCTACATGTCACTAGAACCTAAACCCTATGTCAACCCTGAATCCCTGAAGCCTTAAACCCAAAAGCCCTAAACTGCCTCTCGCTGCCGGCTACCCATCGCCGCTCCTGTTGAGCTTTCGAGTCTTGGAGATTCAGAGCCTCGGTGGTTTAAATCTTTGTTCTGGTTTAGTGTTTCGGGCTTAGGGCCTAAGGCAGGAGTAGGGTTTAGCGTTAAGGTGGTAGTTCAAGGCTGTTGCGGGTGGCTTTGGAGTTCAAGGCTTTGGGGTTTACGGGCAAAGCCGCTGAAGACTTCCAGCTCTACTTTCGACGGC